AAACAAATCAAAAAAGGACAGTAAGGAAAAAAAAAAAAAAATTTTTAACAACTTTTTAAGAAAGAATTAAAAAAAAAGAGAAAAGAATTTTTAAAAAAAAAGAATGGAATTAAAATGAAATTTTGAACATGATGTAGGAAATACTAGAAGGAAAGAAAACAATAAGAAATGCTAAAAACTAATCATCTTAAAACCAAAATAATACAAAAATATGTCCACCAGAAAACAAAGAGGAAGAAGAGTTATTTATCAAGGTGTTTTATATCAGAATTTAAAAAAAAGGAATTTCTTTTTGAATACACATGATTTTCCAGTTGAATTTTATCATATGGGATTTTTTTTCTTTTAGCATTCAAAGACCAAATATCTCCTATCTTTGTTACCCATCATGCCTCAATCCTTTGATTTGTAAAATCATTTTCCTTTACATTTAATTGTTTCAGAAAATAGATATTATTTACAAGGATAGGAAAAACAGTTATTTTGTTTCACAAAAAGAAAGCAAAATGAAGAAAACTTAAGATTGAAATATGAATTAGACAATGGAGGATGTGGTTGAGGGAGCAGTGACAAGAATGAAGAAAAAGGAAAAGAAAAGAATAGAAAACAGATAAAAAAAAAGAAAATCAAGGAAAAGAATGAGCATAAATCAGAAGAAGAAAAGTTCTCAAAGAAAAGACAAGAATAAAAACTTTTAAATTGCCTTTTCCAAAAAATAAAATAATAAGGAAAAGAAAATAAAATAAACAACAGAAAAAGAAAAGAAGAAAAATTCTCAAAGAAAAGACAAGAATGGAAGAAAAAGCTTAATAAGTAAAGGCAAAGAAAAAAAGTGAACAAAAATAGAGTGGCCGAAATGATGAGAAAAATAGAAATTCCAAAATTTTACGTCTGTCAGTTATTACAAGTTTGCCTGTCTGTCCAACATTTGTTTGGGTTTTTAGTTTTTAGATTTTATGACTTCCATTACAATTTTGATTAAAATTGGAAAAAGATTGTTTTTTTTCATAGATAAACATTTTTGGCAGACTAAACCAGAATCGGCATCCCAGCACCATCACTTAAAATCAAAAGAGATACTGCTTTTTATCATCTTTCTATGTAAATATGTTTTAACCTTTGGAATCTGACTTTTCACATATTGGAATAATGATGAGTAGGTGTAGGGATGGAATATGGAGACTCCATTGATTAAACTCAGAAATGGGTAGTGTTCAGTACCTAAAAGAATGCAAAGACAGAGTTAATAGCTTTAAACTAAAATTTTTTTAAAATTTAATTTTTCTTCCTTCCCCAGCCAATTTTCTATTTAAGTATTTATGATTACAAGAAAAATAAATAAAAAATCAAAGAATTACTGTCTGACAATATTTTTTCTGAAATTTCTTTTTGTAATTCAAGATGGAAAAAAAAAAAGGAACAAAAAAAAGAAATAATGAAGATATGATATAATATATTTTTAGTGGCATTGAAAAGAAATGTCAATCCTATGAAGAAATGGCTTTGTAAGTCTGAATAAAATTCTGACTACTGCAAATTTACCATCTCCTTCCCAAAGAGAAAGTCACAAAACAATGAAATGATAAAGAACTCAAGTCTCTTGATAACTTTCAACAATGCAGGAATATAAAAGAAACAGTAGAAAAATGATTGAAAAACAAGAAATTATTTAATTTTTAATTTAACAATTCAAAAATTAAAAATATATTTATTATCAAAAAAATTTTAAAATAATTGACATTTTTTTTTTTTTTTTTTTATTTATTTCCAATGAGCCAATAACACTTTAAGATTCAAAATTGCTTCTGGGATAAAAGAGAATGAGAAAAAGAAAGAAAGGAACCAAAAATCCATCCAAAACAGGAAACAAGGGATAAACCTCTACTCCTGTTCAAAAGATGGGAAGGAATGGAATTTGAAGTTTTAAATGGAAAATAAATCTACTACAAATTTTTAATCATTTTTTTTTTCCCATGAGAATGAAAAAATTATCACATGAGCATCAGAAATACAATGCAGATCATTCAACTTATATCATTGTTTTGTTTTTTTTTTTTGATTCTGAATAAAAAGAAAAAATGAAAATTTGTTTTATTTTTACCAAATTTTATGTGATAAAAAGTAATTTAAAAAAAAAAAAAAACAGAGAGAGAGTTAAAGAGAGATAAAAATGGATGGAAGTCAGAACATTATCATAGTCAGAACATTATAATTTCCAATTTAATTATTATATATTTATATATATATACTAAATATATTAACAATAATAAAATTGGTCAATAATTATTTATAACTATTTATACTTGGACTCATGCATGCAATTACATATAATCCATAATATTATTTTAAATTTTGAAATCATATTTATTTTTAGCCTATGAATTTTTTGAAACTGTTTCTAAAACTCTGATTGTCTTTCAATCATTTGTTCACAGAAATTGCTTAAAAATTCTACTTTTGCACCTTTGTTCACATGCCAAACTTTTTGAAAACCTTTGAAATGGACATCTCCAAGAAAAGCAACATGGTAAAAATAAATAAATATCAAACTTGTGAATATAAACTCTATAGATAAAAAGAAATACTAAAGAAAAAAAAAAATTGAGGTGAAAAGTTAGAAAATTAAAAAAAATCTAGAATAAAAATTGTAAGTTTTATTAATTAAAGATTAACAAATCAGCTACTGAACAAGTATTGAAAGTTAAATAAATTTTAACATTAAATAAATATTGATTCAAAAACATTAAAAAACTTAACATATCATTTAGATAAAAAAAAAAACCAAATAGAGAAAGTTTATAAATTTCAACCAAAGTAAACAGAAACTTCAAAAGTTTTGATTTGCGACTTTTCTTTTTTATGTTTTCTTCTTTAAACATACATAGGACAAAATGCAAGAAGATTTAATTGCTCTTCACTGAATTCAACAAATCAAGAACAAACTACACACTTTATACTGGCAAAAAATTCTACTTGTACACAACAAGAGAATAAACCTGTCAAAACAAACTGCAAAATGACATTAAATTTGAAGAAAAGATACCTTAAAGAAAAAAATCAAGTTACATTAGCATCAATTTCAACACCATTTAACCAAGCAATAAATTTGAGTTACATGATAAATAGAATTTTTTTTTTTTTTGCAAATCAAAGAAATTTGCAACGGACTTGTGCCAAACTAAGCAAAGCTTAGGAAATAAGTTGACAGGCAAAGGAATGCCAAAGTAAACATTTTAAATGATTGATCTAAAATCAAATTAACAAATTGAGAATAATAATGAAAAGTTATGTAAAGTAAAAAAATTAATACATATATGTAGAAAAATTAAAGAAATGAGTAATCCAAGTGTAGAATTCAGCACCAAGTGCGAACCAGTGTCCAAGAAAACAATATTTGATTTATTTAATTTCTATCTCTATATTATATATATATATATATATATATATATATATAAACCGGGTGTAACAGCAAAATTGTGCAAATCATGATACAGCATAATTGGCCATCCAACAAAAAACTTTATATCTAAAAAAATCACTAAACTGAGTTTCTTTTATCCATGTTTTCAGATAAAACATTTAGCCATCTTGACACCATTTACCATAAGAATCACTGAAAAATACTTTGAGTTAGTCAGCTTAAAAGAGAATAGGTTAAAATTGTTTTGTGTCAGGCACACTGCCTTCCCAAATGAGCAATGGTGAAAGGAAAAGATCATTCAAGCCTTTAGTAATTGTACCAACATTAATACTCTGGCTTTCATCTTCAAAGTGTATTCAAGAACCATCAAGAGAATGGTGAATAAGTTTTAAAAAGTGGGAACAGTAGGGAGAAAAACTGGATCAAGAAGTCACAACAGGAAGAGAGATCATCATTTCAACTTAGAGCTAAAGAGATCAATTAGAAAAGATCAAAATCAATCCATAAGATGTTTGGCATGTGAGAGAGCAGTTTCAGCTATGACAGTCCAAAGAACAGTGGGAAAAAAAAAAAAGACTTCAAAAATAAAATTATACATGAAACATGTGAGAATACTTGTTTTACTCCAGGACAGAAATTTAGAAGGTTAGAGAGGGCAAAGATCATCTTGAATAAGTTGGAAAATGATCCTGGAAATATATATATATATATATATTTTGATATTTATTTCAATCCTTCATGAACTTTAATCAATCCTTATGATTAATTAATCCTTAACATATGATTAATTAATGATGAACATTTCATTTCATTTTTATGATCGATTTCATCACGATTCTTCTGTTAAGCTTGGAGAGTAATTATACATTCTTATTGCTCAAAGTAGAGTCCAATAGTGTTATAAAAACCTTAGAGAATTCCAGTAAGATATCTTTAATCATTTCTAAGATACAACAGTTCAAAGTTCAATCTAACAATTGGAACACTATAGGTAAAAAGTTATCTAAAATTTAAAAACCCAATAGTCCTAAGGTTATCCTTAGCCAGCAAGGTAGATTAGACAAAAAGAGCTAAGATTTTGAGGAAACTTTATGGTTAAACTTTATTGCTTAATTTCATTATTATTATTATTGAATATATAATAAAATCCTTCAGGAGGAGAAAGTCCCTCTGGTCCAAAATGAGTTAATTCTGAAAAGGGCATGTAATCTTTAATTTCTAGGCAATCCTTCAAAATTCAGAGGGTGGCTCAAAACCTTTGGCCTATCAGTCAATCAGCAAAGTGACACACATGAAACATGCTTGGGCAATCTTTCAATACATGACTAATGAGGCAGAAGACTTTTCCCACAATAAATTGCCATTTCTATCTGCAGAAGAAATTTATACTTAAGAATAAAAAAACATCAGTTTGTCCTCATTATTTGAACCAAAAGCTGGGGAAAAAGAGATAGATTCATGTGTTTTAAAAAGTATTGTGTGTAAATGATTATAACAAACTTATTTGAAAAAAATTAATTTGTTTTGGATATTGACTCATTCAGAGTCAATATCCATTATACCACAATTCACATTTGGCCTATACTGTATATAAAAATCAGAATTTTTTCTAATTGTATAGTTTGATAGGAGCAAGTCATGGTGTAATGGTGGGTATTTCACAGACCATTTTGCTAGTGTAAGGAGTTTATTCTTCACTAGGTGACCTTGTGCCAGACTAAGCAATGTTTAGTAGATAATCAGAGTAAAAAATATTCATTTTCATCACAGAACTCACTGGGTTTCCAAATAAAAACTAATGGTTCCATGACATTTAATCAAAAACATAATTTTTTATCTGAAAACCAATTCTCTTGAGTAATAAGTTCAATTTTTACTGTTATCTCCGTCTACTTGTACCAGATTAAACTAAATTTTACATAAATAAAGACTTATCCAAGCTGGCCTGAAATTTTAAGCGTGACATTTTTGCTATAAAAATCAGTGTTGCTGTTGAGAAGCTAAAAATTACTGGATGACATTCAAGTATGAAACATTTAAAGAAGGTCAAAGATATATAAAGCATACTGCAGTGCAAGATGTTAAATTACTCTGGAATTATTTAGAATATTAGTACTGCTATTTATATGAAGGTATTTTAATATTAGGAACATACTTTTGTCATTTTGAGTACTTTCAGGTTTGTTTTTATCTTTGATCATCCATACTTATTCCATAAGACACGTTCAAATTTAAGTGGGGTTGATCTTTGAATTAACAGTCAACACCTGTTGTCTACATCTTTATTGCTATATCCTCGATGTTTTGGCTGGTGGTATGCTCTGGCCTTCTTCAGGTGATTGGAATTTCAAACTGAGCCTTTTATTTCATCCTAGTCTCACATGCCATACCTCTTCTCAGTTATCTTCCTTCAACTCAACTCTCCAAGTGTTTTGTTCCCCACTGCAGTCACCACATATTGAACTCACAACTCTTTGGGTCAAGTCACTGGATCCAACCAACACTTATATCCGCTGGACCATGTGCCTTTGCTGAAACATCATGAATATGGCAATAAATATGAGGACGACAGTCAGAAAAATGTAAATAATTACAATACCCATAACTATAGACAGACAGTTAACACTTGTAAAAAAATGTATTTTTTACCATATTTTAAGTAAGAAGTAATATTTTTCAAAATCTAATTAATTAACAATTAAATTAATTTTCATTATATTCTATATTTCTATAACAGCTACTTTATTTCTGACAGAATTTTATTTACAAACTGTAAATTCTTTTTAGTGAACACTAATCATTTTAAATTCTATTTGTCATAGACATTAATAATACTGTTGCCAACTAAATCATCTTACTGTGTTAGTATCATAAAAAGAAACAATACATTTTTCACCATTTTTATGATAATATCTTTGCCAAAATCTGTAGGTAATCAATGGATCTCCACAATAAAATCTTTAGTTGCTTTAAGTAATTCTTGTTTCTTTTTGCTGTGTTATCTAATAAAGATTGCAAAAATACATTTCACCAGCACACTATATATCTCTATGTGCTATGTCCCACAGGATGTATTTGATCATGGCTCTCCACAATTTCCTGTCTTCAATTGCTCTAAGTAATTCTTGTTTCTTTACTACCCCACTTTCACTCTGTGGTCCTTGTTCTACCGTTTATTCACTCAAACTCGTCAAGTAGGATGTTAACTGTTTCCCTTTACATTTTTATCATCAATGCGCTCTGTAAGTGTTAAATTCTGATGTGAATTGAGTTCCCTCATTATGTTTTAGCCAAAATTTTTTTGTCTTTGCAATTTACTATTCTCCTTAAAACTTCCTCATTTCATACACATTTTTCTTGATATTCTAACATTTTTGTTGACTCATGTCTTCATCTGCAAAAACAATGTCTAGCAGTCACTACATGTCCTTAATGATCGTAGCTAGAATTGTCTGCAGTAATAGACAAATGACACTAGCTCACCCTATACTGTTCTTACTCTTACTAAATATCTTTGTCATTACACACCTACATATATATCAATCTTAATAAAGAAAATGATAGCATAGAATTTACAGTTATATCTAACCAACTCAGCTGTAAATAGATAAGATCAGATAAGTCTAGGCATCATAGAAAAGAGCTCATTTGAACAATTACCATGAAAGTATATAGAAAAGGCAAAGTGAAGCAGCCTTACAGTGGTGGGAAAGTGATTGAAGCCAAGATGCTAGAAAACAAGCAGTGCCAATAACATTGCTGATTCTTCTTTGGATTTTATCAAGGGTCACAAGATAAATAGCAAAGCCTTTTCCATATTTGGCTAATATTCTCATCATAGATGAATGGTAGACTTATAGATATATTTTTTTAGTTTAAGGAGAGAAAAATATGTCCTAAACAACACAGTGAACCAATTTTCTTAGCAGCTTGGCCTAGCAATGGATGCAATATATATTTTATAGAATAATTTCAAATACTGTCATTTTTTTTTTTTTTTACATAAGTAATAGAATATTTAATATTTTATGTTATATAATTTAGTACTATCATTTATGTCTGTATTGCACACATGGACAAACTTTAAAATCTATAACTTGTGATATACATCAACTTTGTTAAACAAACTAGTACACTTAAAAAATGGTGGAATAATTTACATAGGAATTAGCATTTCTACCTAAGATCAGAATATCTGTGTTTTCTACCTCGGATCAAATTGTCATTCTGCAGCAGTCACTACACCAGGGCATATTTGTGAACTTTGTGAAAAATGTGCTACACATAATATACACTGACATGCCAAAAGTCATGGGTTAACAGTATGTAAAAGGTAATGGTAGGTGGTGCCATTATACCTTGATATTGTAAAAATGACTAGACTTTTATGCTCTGACATCTAGTGAGTCACTATGAACACTGGCTAGACTGCTCGTGGCAAAGTAATATGAATTATCAAAGTTCAAACGAAATAGAGTGGATGCCATACAGACAGGATGTTCCATTTCTTAAATTGTTGAGACATTTGACATCCTTCGAATCATTATGTCAGCTGTGTACAGGGAATACCTGATGGAAGAAATTTTGTGTCCACAGTGGTAATCACAATGGCCGACAACAAGTCCTTAATGATCGTGACCAGAGGCATTTAGCTAGAATTGTCTGCAGTAATAGACAAATGACACTGGCTCACCATATACTGTTCTTACTCTTACTAAATGTCTATCATTACCCACCTACACACATTTGTATCAATCTCATTAATATTCTTAATGTACTACCACATTAGATGACATCTGGCTGGTTTTTTCAGATATCACCATATATGAAAATAAAAAAAAAACATTAGATGACATATCCTGTTTAAATACAGATTCTTGTAAGATCACCAGTAAAGCAATGTTGAGTCTGGTCAGTACCTAGATGGGTGACCGCTTGGTAATGCCAGATGATGTAAGCTCTGGATGTGCAGCTGGTGTAATGGGTAATGGCTCAGAATGAGAAATCATAGGGTCAAGTTCAAATTCCAGTTGGATTCATTATACTTATTCATATGCAAATACCCTTAGGAAAGGTATGAATCCATATATTCTCCTCCCTGTTATGGGCTAAATAGCAGTACATGTATCAGAAAATCATTATCCCAAAAGAATTCTTGCAATCCAAAAATATGTTTTGGGTTTAAGAAAACTTAAAAAGGTTGATAAGATATAAATAAAACAAAAACAAACATCAATCTAAAGAAATATGCTGAGAATACGAAGGACAAAACATGTGAACAACAAGGAAGTGTTAAGGAAAATGGAAACAACAAGGACACTTCTACATAAATCAGAAAGAGACAGTTGAAATTTCTGGGACACATAATGATGAAAGAGAGCTTGGAGAATTAGAAACTCATAGGACAGACTGCAAACAAAAAGGACTGAGAGAAACAAAATAACCTGCTAAACAAGCTTGTGTAAAATGGATGACAGGACAGAGACAAGGAGGAATTGTAAGGGGGAGAAAAATTACTAAGATCTACAAAGAATAGGAAGTTGTGAAGCACCATGATCACCAACATCTGGAAGGGACAATAGATATAAAAGAAGATATAAATCAAATCCACTCTCAACTTAGGTATAAGTTTCATCATCTTTCTACTTTATCCAGAATTTCTTTTACTCTCTTCTTCCCTGTTATCCAGTCTTTCTTTTTTTGCTCACCTCCCTCATTATCCAGTCTTTCTATTTCTCTCTTCTTTACCCATTATCCAGTCTTTCTTTTTTCTCTCTTCTTTACCCATTATCCAGTCTTTCTTTTTTCTCTTTTCTTCCCCATTATCCAGTCTTTTTTCTCTCTTTTTCCCCATTATCCAGTCTTTCTTTTTACTCTCTTCTTCCCCATTATCCAGTCTTTCTTTTTTCTCTCTTTTTCCCCATTATCCAGTCTTTCTTTTTTTCTCTCTTTTTCCCCATTATCCAGTCTTTCTTTTTTTCCCTCTTTTTCCCCATTATCCAGTCTTTCTTTTTACTCTCTTTTCCCCATTATCCAGTCTTTCTTTTTTTCTCTCTTCTTCCCCATTATCCAGTCTTTCTTTTTTATCTCTTTTTCCCCATTATCCAGTCTTTCTTTTTACTCTCTTCTTTACCGATTATCCAGTCTTTCTTTTTTTCTCTCTTTTTTCCCCATTATCCAGTCTTTTTTTCTCTTTTTCCCCATTATCCAGTCTTTCTTTTTACTCTCTTCTTCCCCATTATCCAGTCTTTCTTTTTTACTCTCTTCTTTACCGATTATCCAGTCTTTCTTTTTTACTCTCTTTTTTCCCCATTATCCAGTCTTTTTTCTCTCTTTTTCCCCATTATCCAGTCTTTCTTTTTACTCTCTTCTTTACCCATTATCCAGTCTTTCTTTTTTTCTCTCTTTTTTCCCCATTATCCAGTCTTTTTTCTCTTTTCTTCCCCATTATCCAGTCTTTCTTTTTTATCTCTTCTTTACCCATTATCCAGTCTTTCTTTTTTTCTCTCTTTTTCCCCATTATCCAGTCTTTTCTTTTTACTCTTCTTCCCCATTATCCAGTCTTTCTTTTTTATCTCTTTTTCCCCATTATCCAGTCTTTCTTTTTTATCTCTTCTTTACCCATTATCCAGTCTTTCTTTTTTTCTCTCTTTTTCCCCATTATCCAGTCTTTCTTTTTACTCTCTTCTTCCCCATTATCCAGTCTTTCTTTTTTATCTCTTTTTCCCCATTATCCAGTCTTTCTTTTTTATCTCTTTTTCCCCATTATCCAGTCTTTCTTTTTACTCTCTTCTTCCCCATTATCCAGTCTTTCTTTTTACTCTCTTCTTCCCCATTATCCAGTCTTTTTTTTTTCTCTTTTTCCCCATTATCCAGTCTTTTCTTTTTTCTCTTTTCTTCCCCATTATCCAGTCTTTCTTTTTTCTTTTTCCCCATTATCCAGTCTTTTTTTTTTCTCTTTTTCCCATTATCCAGTCTTTCTTTTTTCTCTCTTTTTCCCCATTATCCAGTCTTTCTTTTTACTCTCTTCTTCCCCATTATCCAGTCTTTCTTTTTACTCTCTTCTTCCCCATTATCCAGTCTTTCTTTTTTCTCTCTTTTTCCCCATTATCCAGTCTTTTTTTTTCTCTTTTTTTTCCCCATTATCCAGTCTTTCTTTTTTCTCTTGTCTTAACCATTATCCAATCTTTCATTTTCTCTTTTTCCAGTCTTTCTTTTTCACTCTTCTTCATCCTAGTCTTTTGTTTCCCCTTTTCTTCCTCTTCTTTTTCAAACTCTTTACACAAGTCTTTCATTTTTTTCTTGCTATCACTATCTCCTTTCCTTTTTTTGCCTTCACCCTTTTTTTCTATCCATTCAGTTTTCTTTCTCTCCCTCTTCTCAACATGAATCAGTAATGCCATCAACATCTGCAAGGAGATGTTCTCCTCCTCTTGTTCTTTTGATGGCAACATTTTGAAAAGATGCTTTGAGGGAAACTGCACATATCTTTGATGCTCTTCTCAATTCACAATCTTCACATCTCTAACCTTTACAACATGACAGGCAAAAGGAAGTAAAAGTATCGATTGGGTAAATGAAGGATTTTAGATGAATACACAAGGGACTGCAAGACGAGAGCTTCCTAGGCATTTTTAGTTATCATTGAGATTCTCTTTCAAATGCCAAAAATTCCTTCTTCAACCAACGAACAATATTCAGATTATTAGTTACGTATAATAATATGTAAATAAGAAATATATATATATACACACATATAAATACACACACGTATATTTACAAATATACACACACACGTATATTACATATATATATATATATATATATATACACACACACACATTTACACATGTATATATACACACACATTTACATATGTATATATATGCACACACATATTTACACATGTATATGTATATATACAGACACATTTACACATGTATATGTATATATACAGACACATTTACACATGTATATATACACACACACGTATATGTATATCTATACACACACACATATATATATATACACACACATACATACACAAACACACATATATATACACATATATATACATACACATATATATACACACATACACATATACATATACACACACATACACATATATACACACACACACATATATACACATACACACACACACACATATATCAATACTCTACATAGAGCATGTCAAAGCACGTCCAATATCCCACCCTCGTCAGCTGCTAACCAAGGGAGTTAACAAAGTTTCAGTGGCTAAGGCAGTACTGACAACTCTGGTGACACTAGCAGCTTTTGCCACTGGACTGGGTATTGTTTTTGTATATGTGTCATTCTCTTGGGATTTCTTTTTACAACTGCAAATGTAATTTTCAGTGCTGTGTTAAAATATACAACATGCTCATAGCGACCGCTATTAATAGTGTAGAATGAAAGGTAAACAGATGTGTTTCACATTGGAAGTACCATTGTCTTACAAGTATGGATTTATTTAACTTTATTTATTTTTCATCTTGACCAGATCTGACTCAATGCCTGTTGAGCTGTTGCCTGGAGATGATATGAAACACGCTTTAGGTTCTGGCCAGTGATGCCCACCTTCAAATATATATACACACACACAGAAAAACACGTGTGTGTGTGTGTGTGTGTGTGTGTATGTATGTATACACACAAAAACATATCAGTCAGTCTGTCTAAAATCAACAATGGTCTGACTATCACTCACACAGATATATTTTAAATTTGGTATATTTATAGAATTTATGATAGAAATTGAATGATACCTTTTTTACATCTCTAGGTCAAAAGGTCCATGGATGTGACCATTTGACATTTATCAAAAAGGTGAATTTTGGAAAATAGTTACAAAGTTTAAATATCAATATCTCAATTGTTTTTTCACCTAGAAAGCTACATTATATACTATTTTAAAGTACTTAGATAAATCTAAAAGGTGATCTCTTTATTTCTGTTTAAAGTATTTGACATTGACCTTAATCTATGAATTTTACTTTCTCAGAAAGTCAATCTTTAATTTTTTTCTAAATTTGACCAGAAATTTGTATTCTTTATGGCAAGATATGTACAAAATTTTGTTACAAGGGTTTTACTGATTTAGGACAAATTCAAAATGGCATATTTTGGTATAACATGTAAGATGTCAACAAAAATTTGTTATCCATCAATATTATTTCTTGCATATTTTCATATTTTATGTTATCTTAACATTAATTCATGACACTTTTTTAATAATTATTTTGTTATGTCACTTTTGCATATAAAAATCTATTTCTTGTATAATAAAAATATAAACAAAATCAAAAATAAGGTTGGTTATTTTCCACCAAATTAGTCAACATTTAACCACATATAACACAAATTCTGTTGATTTTATTGTCATAGTTCTTATTTGATTATTAATCATCATTCAAAAACCTTACTAAAGATATACAACTTGACTATATTGGGTGATATGAAAATGTTAGCATATTGTGGCAAATACTAAAACCTACCATTTTGAATTTGACCCAACTCAGTAAAAGCCTTGTAACTCAGGCCACAGTCAAAAGTCCACCACAAAACTTTGTACATATCTTGACAAAATACAGAGAAATTATTTTATCAAATTTATAAAAAAATTAAAGATACATTTTTTGATAAATTAAAGGTCAAGAGCAAATTATTTGACCTTTAAACAAAATAAAATAAATAGATCAGCTTTTAGATCTCTCCATGTACTTTAAAACGGTATATAATGTAGATTTGTAGGTGAAAAACAACTGAAACTTTGATATTTAAAATTTGTAAGTATTTTCCAAAATTCAAAGAGTCATATGAAGGAAACCCTTTGACATAGACTTGCAAAATAGGTACCAGTCAATTTTATCATGAAACTCTATAAGTGTACCAAATTTGAAAAATTTGGTGTGTGATGGTCAGACTCTTGATTTGACATAAAATGCTACATTTTATATATATATATATATATATATATATATAAACACACAAAACACTTATATATTATATATACATACACACATACAGAGGTTGCAGACTCATTGATACCTCCTTGTAAATGTTTTTTTATATACAAAATGGACAAGATATACCAATAAGCTTTTGTCATTTACACAATATATCTATATAAAATGTGTAACATCAAACGCACATATATATATATATATATATATATATACTTAATAAAATTTGAGGAATAAAAAGCTAACGAAACAATAGCAATATTGGCAATAATATTAATATTTATTTTAACTGAATTGAAGCACAAAGTGAAAGATTTTAAAGTTGGAATTGTCAAACATACCTATATCCTTTTCAACAAGTTGAGGAATTTACAAAGTGGATCTTTGTCAAAATGCCAATATGTAATAAATATTATCAATCGTTTTGCCTGTATTGTTATCATTTTTGAGCTTTTTATTCCTCAAATTTTTATTAAACACCCTATTAACTATACATATTATAAGAATCATCCTTGGACCATCTTTTGTTTTAATTATATATATATATATATATATATATATATGTGTGTGTGTGTGTATCTGTGTGTGTGTGCAAGATGGAAAAATTAATAACATTCAGGCAGCTGCTCAAGTATGTAAATGAAATCATTTTTCATACAAAAAAAATTACATAATAAATTAAATCCTCACTGCTAAGTTTACAGGAGAGCTATAAATGACAGATATAAGGGATGTGTGTGTGTCTAATGTGTGTCTATATACATACAAACTTGCATAAATAAAATATATATATATATATATATATATATATATATATATATATATATATATATATATATATATTCCCTTTGTGTGTTTCTGTGCATATACATATTTGCAGATGTTTTTATGTTTCTCTTTACATACATTTTTATATTAATCTATGTATGTAATATTCACAAACATATGAGTGTGTATATATAATGAACACACATGTTATGTCTTTTATATTTTATATAAGCACAAATCTATATTTGACATTCTTATAACTCTTTCAAAGAATTCTCCAAATATCTAAATTTCTTTTTTGGAAAACTCCAAATCAGTGTTTTCTTCATTTTCACTCAATAAGCCTTTACAAGCTTGAAGGACTTGCCTAAGGTCTTCACATCAGCACATAAAAGGCCTCAATGAATAAGACCTGATGCAAGGCTTTATCCAAGATATGTGCACCGCTACCATCCACCTTGAAAAGGATTTTCACAAAACGATGAGAATTGGGAAATCCAAAAATGGAGGGAAAATTATTTCAGAATAAAAGTGTCTAAATTTTCAATAGAAAATCAGTACAATAATAATAAGAAAAATAAAAAGAACAGACCTGTTTCACAATGAATTAAATGTGTCTTTCTTTTCTCAATTTTTTTCTTATCCTTCCTTTCTATTTCTACTTTTTACATATAACCTAAGTGGGAGCCAACATGAAAGGTGAGAATGATAATACATCATACAATTTATTACTTTTTGTCCCTCGCTCACTACAATATCATATACCATCACAGTGTAACTTCTAACATTTGAAGTTCATTCATTCATGAAGGGAGGGAATGAATTCTCTTACAAAACCAATGCAACAACTCCCTTTTTGAACAACACATCAGAGGATGTAATTCAACAGTAAAGGTTCAACTGAGTTGGCCTGACACAAGTTCATGAAATTTCTAAGTGAGCACAATTTCCTTCAACTGATCCATTCAAATTATCACTGAATTCTGTCAATTAGTTTACAACTAATTGAATTTTTAAAATTGTTTTTTATCAACCGTCAGTTACTAAAAAAACAGAAAAATAAGAAAAGAAAAATGTTATCTAGATCCATATTCTTCAACTAAGTGAAACATACACAAGTGTGCAATGCAGACAATAAATGAACAAGGAACATTTTAAAGGAAAACAGTTCTGATACACTGAAAAAACTGTTTTGCATCAGGTTTTTGAAATCCTCTACAATTTTATGTTAACTTACCCACAGACACACACATATAGATTTTGTTTTTAATTAATTCACCCCAAGCAAAGTGATAATGCCACTAAGCTGCAAGGGACTACTGAAAGTGAATGAGAAAACTTTAGAAGGAACCAGAAACCCAATCCTAAACAGGAAACAAGAGATATACCTCTACTCCTCTTCAAAAGACTGGGGAAGATGTGAACTGACTATATATATATATATATATATATATATATATATATATATATATATATATATATATATTACAATGAATCATTCATACAAAAAGTAAATTAGTAAAGTTAATGATATAAAATGGTGAAATCCCTTGGCTAACAAATTTTAAAGATTCATTAACCTACCAATCACTTGATGAATGCTATGATCCTTGTTTTTTAAAATTATAAAGTGTATTAGGTCTTCCTTAAATACACAAGTACTTTCAACTGTACGTTCAGTCATCTTCAGGCATGGAAATTATTTTGATTTTGGTAAAATTCAGGTAGCATCCAAGACAAAAAAATGTGAATCAAAATATGTTTTTTTTTTTTAAATGTGTTACTGATATCGGATAAAAACTTGTGGAGTGTGCAGTCACAACACTAAGGTTAATTTTTTTGAAAATTTAAGTGAGTGCGTTTTTTTACTAATATGGTTATTTGAGAATTTTTTTGTTGTGGAAGTTTATTAGTTAATGTGGCATGAACTATATAGTTCAACAAGTAGAGTAATGTCTCAGTTGTTATCCCGAAAATTTGCACGTCGGATCAGTTCTTTTAAATCAAATATGTGGTATAGTTCAGTTTATGTTACAATGAATCATTCATACAAAAAGTAAATTAATAAACTATATATATATATATATATATATATATATATACAAGTGGTTAATTGAAAAGAAAAATATCCTATGTTATATGTTTCATCTTCTTCAGACTATAAAATCTTTTCATTGATAGAATCCTAGATATGAGGGTAGGGAATGAAATATAACAAATGTTGTTTACAATTATACATAAACAAGAAACTGATAGAGGAGCACTTCATTTTAATACTAAATTTTTGCCATTGGATGTATTTATATGCTCATCAGCTTCTTACAGCTTTTATTCTTAAATTGATACTGTTTTTAAATAACTCACATTTTAATGGCAATAGTTTTGTTAGGAAACAGGACATATTGCATGAGCCTAGAAGTAAATTTATCAGAGAAGACTCAGAAATTAGTGCTCTTGCTTTAGTATTTTCCCTATTTTGTCATTCAATTATCCATTTTTATACTGATATATAGACTTTGTATATAATATTCTCCCATATATATATATATATATATATATATATATATATATATATATATATATATATATATATATATATATATATATATATTGTAATCAATAGATAGACAAATGTTTGAAAGAATTATCTACCAACTTCAAGTTTGCAGTTATATATTTATTACTTTAAACATTATTTTTTAGTGGATATTCATTTATTAGTTGATGCTCCATTTATTTTAAAAAGTGTTATATTTGTCTACTAGCCTGTACATTCAGGAAAACTTATTTAAAAAAAAATGCATCCTCTGACAAGATTCAAATCTGTGTACCCCTTTGTAGGAGATATAACTGTTTAATCTGGTGTGTTTTGAAATGGCAGCTTCTCCTAGAAAATATACACCAATCATTTCACACATTACTTAATGTCTATTTAATATTATTAAAAACAATATCTTGAATATTTAAGGGGAATTTGAAATATAAAATGAATTTATTTTCTGTCAATTGAAATATATAAAAATTTAGCATAAACTATAATAAACTGCCATTTAACATGAAAAAAATAATTGTATCCTGATAATAATAAAAGTGGCTCTTCAATTTCCTGTTTTATTTAAAGTCACTTTGTTTCATTTAAGTTTTACATTCTCCTTTTATGTGCTGTCTCCCTTCAGGGTATGGGCAGTCATGATTCTCCACAATTACCTAGCCTTTTTAGCTCTAAAGCAATATTTAACTCCTTACTATTCAACTACCATCCATTTACACAAGCTTATTAGGTACGTTACTTGTTGCTTCTCTCTACCCTTCTTGGTATGTCATGTGAGTATCAAATTTTCTAAGCCCCCTTTCATTATTATGTGTTCCAGAAATTTCAGCTATCTCTTGATTCTAATTACAAGTGTTTTTTTTTGTTTTTTGTCCATTTTCCTTAGTACTTCCTCAATTCTCACATGTTCTGTCCAAGATATTCTCAGCATCTTTCTGCAGAAACCATGACTTTGTTACCTCAAGTCTCTTCTTCATTAGGTAATTGTCCAGCAAACTTTCACATTACTTTAATATAAAGTTTGTATTGTTTTGATAGATAATGTCTCATATTTTCACTAGTCAACACTTTATTCTGATGAATATATGTGATATTTTGATTATTAGATTTTTCAATGTGACATTTTATAGGCTTCCTGTATTATCTGAGGTTCTGAAGATGAACTTTTATTGTATACAGTGGGCTGATAAAGGGTAGCAGTAACATTCTACCACACTTGATTTCTGTGCACTGTTCAAATTTTCCAAATTCGGTTGCATTTAACATCTTGAGTTTGGTTTCTATACATAATACCAGATGAAGACTAGATACTTTTTTTTAAGTACATCCTACAGTAAATATGGGCTATGTACACATGTATCACATTTCATATGCATACTTCTTCCCTGTTTGCTGCAACTCTCTCTGCAGAGTTTGAGTTTTGAGTGATTAGCCTCCTATCCATACTACCAGCCCATTAGTTGCTGTGTTGAGAGAGTAACTATGTTACCTTTAAATAAGTAAATTTTAACAGACAAATATTACCATGGCAACAGAGAAATACATTGAAGTAATTTTAAAAAATTTTTTTTAAATTATTACAGAAAGTCTTTTTTATTGATTCATTCTCATTCATTCATTCATTCATTCATTTTCTATGGCTTATCAACTTTTATAGGTTATTTACATCCAGAAAATTATATATATATATATTAAATTATTAGAATGTTTTTAGAGATAATAATAATTTAGTGATACAGGTCTAACTAATTAACCCATATCTGGGGGGAAAGAGGTGGATTCATACCTTTCCCAAGAATATTTGTGCATTTAAATGAATATAACAAGCCCAACAGGAATTGGAACTCAGCTTCCGATTAACAATTCCAAGTCTTTATCCATTAAATAACTTGTACATCTATGCTTACAGCACATGATATTCCCAACTAGTCACCCATCTAGGTACTGACAAGGCTTGACATTGCTTAACTTCAGTGATCATACGGGAACCAGTTTTTCAATGCAATTTTTGCCATAAGCTAGAAAGACTGAAAGAAATACAGAAATAAAAACCTTATTTGATCTTATTATTGACACTACTTGATATATCTCATCTGGTAAAAATTATGGTACCTTGTAGGAGAGAACCAGACCAGACACAGAAATAATTCTCAACTCAGGTGTGTCTGGTGCAGGTAAATGTTGTGTTCTCTTGAATAATTGGCTATTTGTCAATTGGCCAGTCAATCAATATAGATGGTATCACTACTAAATTTTCATGAAAATCATTGTGCTAATCTGTATGAGAAAATGCTTGGTCATCTAGGAATCATAGCTGATCTGTTTCTGTGGCTACATGTATATAAGAATGACGTTTTTCACTATCAGTGGTCAGTTGGGAGAGCATTATTTGGATTTGTGATTATTCAGCTTTTCTACACCTTGAATTTGCAACTGTTCACTTTGTCTAGATACCTTAAACACCTACACTGTTATAAACTTATATCCCAATTATGGCAACCAACCAAGATGATTGAAATTGTATTTAAACTCAGGAACAGACAAATTGGCAAGTCTTATTCTCTAAAACTTATATTACCAATGCATGAAATTTCTTGTAAAAATATACAGGCTTCAGTGTTTGCTTTGTGGTTCAGATAAATAACATTCATCACAAATGGCATAGGTCAGATAAAAGTCAAAATTTTGAAGGTTGATATTTGTTATATTCCGTGCTAATAGAAATATATACTTGAAAAACAAAGCGGATAGAATAAGTAAAGGTTTATTGTAAAAAACCAGTACAATAAGAATAAAGGTAACAGTTATGCACAAGGTTATCACAAGTCAATCCAGTAGTGAGTGCTACTATTGGAAGGTTAGTAGTTCTTGCGTAAGTCTGAGTTGTACTCAACAGATCCCAGCTAGACTCTGTAGTCTGTTGACTTACAGATACTTATAGGTAATTACTACCTATAGTGTAGTCATTCATCAGGGTGACAGGTTATTCCATTACATCACATTACATCAATTTTCAAAACTGGCACAGGTCAATCTTTTTAATTCTATTTCCTTAACACTTTCACTGTTGCATTGTTATAGCATTATTGTCTGACTGTGATGGTCCAATTTAGGAAAAAAAGGAAATTGCCTTTTAATGGAAATAAATGACTATAAAGACACTGATAGTGATTTCTCAATGGTATCACCATTTTGGTTTCAATTGGATATCCTGCAGTAGAGATTAAGTTAAACAACACCCCTAACATACAATATAATAAAAAATACATCACATAACAGGTCATATTGTACATTTATATCTGTCTGTGCCAGTTTAGAAATAGTGTCAAGCACTAGTTAGATTTTTAACACAAAGGCTAGGAACTAATATTTTACAGTGTCTTGAAAATGTATATACAGTTGTGGACAGAATTATTCACCCCCACTGAATATTTGCATATTTTCTAAGGAAATGTGAATATTTGCAAGTACTTACTGAATTTACCATAAATAATTGATTCTGTATTTAGTTTTGAATAAATTGTGAATTTTTTAAAAGTTTTGATCTATTATATTTATAGTTATCAATTTTTCTAAAAATTGATGCAGTTCAAAATTATTTGCCCCTCCATATACACCTTTTAATTAAATTATGAAATAATATTGCTCTATGGCAATTGTAATGTTTTTTTCTTAATTTGACATTTAATACAAGCACCCTAAGAAAATGAAAAGGTATTGACCTGATTCTATAATATTCTAAAAGGTAATGAAGAAGATAATATGTGAGTGTCATGTACTGCGATAACCCATTCATTCTACAATCATGGCAAAGATGGCTGAACTTGACAAGAAGCTCTGAATGAAGATAATTGATGCATACAAACAAGGTGATTGATATACAACACTTTCCAAGCATTTAAATGTACCTAGATTGACAATTTGTAGCATTATCAAGAAGTACAATGGGACTCATTGTATTGAGAATAAATTAAGGACTAGCAGAAAATGGTTAATTTCTGAGGGAATGGAAAGGAAAATTGTTAGAGATGTCTTGAAGAATCCTCACTTAATGGCAAAAAACATTGTCAAGGATGCAAAGACATTAGGGTTGAATGTATCAACAAAGACAGTCACTAGATCAGTGGTTCTCAAATTTTTTTAAGTCAGGGTGCACTTGAAATCCTACCAATAATTGTAGGTGCACTATATACAATTTAAAAAAAAAAAGTTATGACATCAAATATTGCAGAAAAAATAAGGCAATAAAAAAATATAAAATTAAATATATCTTAAGTTTATTCATTCTTGTGTTTATGAGAAACATGAGCCTGATGAGTCAGCGATTTCTTCAATGGGCATATATTTGATAGGCAAACTCTCATTTCCTCCTCAATACATTGAAGAGTTCCTCTCTTTTTGCACTTGATTGTAGTGAGAGCAGAAAAGCCTAATTCACATAAATATGAAGCTGCAAACGGTAGTAAGATGGTCAGATCTTTTTTAAATATTGACACATATTCTTCTTTTATAGAAATCCAAAAAACTTCAAGTGATAATTCATTGTGTTTAATTATCAACCCATGATCAGTAGATATAGCTGCCAGTTCTTCTTCTTCAGTTAATGTTAAACCAAAATCACTTGAAGTTCCCATGAACGGGTTTCTAATTCAATCATATTGTTCAGTGTTAAGTGATGGAAAATAAGAACTCAGTTTTTCCTCCAAACAATTATTAGAAGTATTTCATTTACTTACTTACCAATGGAAACATTTCCAAATTACCTTCAACATCTTTTCTTTTCCAAATCTGTAGTTTTCTCTGAAACATCTTCATTTTGTCAGTGGATGTGAAAATATTTTCTTCTTTCTCTTGAATGCTAGTATTCAAAATATTAAACTGCTGAAATATATTGGATAAACACTGTAACCTGACAATCAGACCGAAGGAGGTCGTAATAATATAATCGTTTCATCACTTCAAAAAATTCAATAAGTTCTTTTTGTAACTCATGTACACAAGTAAGTACTTTCCCCCTTGACAGCCACTTGGTGTGTAAAAGCAACCGTCTGTTTTGAGAATCCATTTTGATACAAAGTTGTTCGAATAAACGCAATTTGACAGGTCTTATTTTAATAAAATTTACCATCTGAACAACTTGATCTAAAACTTCTCTTAATTTTTATCCCAATGTTTTTGCCAGCAAGACCTCCCTACAAAGAAAGCAGTGAGTTACGATAACTTTCTCAAAATTCCCTAGAAAATCTGAAAGACATGCTTCAATGATATATAATGGTTGGTTGGCAGAAATCTGCTTAGTTATTGAGTTAGATTTTAAATGTTTTCTTTGAATGTAAAAAGAAAAGAATGGCTTAGCACAAACTAAAATTTTTCACATTTTTAATTCAGAAATGATATTGCAGTGCACTCACTGCATAGAATAAGTAATCTCGATTGACATGGTTATAACTAATTTATCACATTTGCTCATAAACAAATAAGTGATAAATCATAAATGATAAATTACTATGAAAGTATAAATAAGACAACTTCTAAATAAACAATCTTACTCCTCATCATCATTTTATGTTACATAATACATCTTTTAGTAATCAGCTTTCTTGAACTAGGCATGGAAGACTGACCAGCAATTTCTACCAGTTCAATACAACAAAACAAAAGTTCCTATCACCAGTGCACCCAGGCACACTATTTGAGAACCACTGCACAAGATACTTTCATTGAGCAGGACTGTTCTTGTCACTCAAGGTTTTATTTGACCATAAAAAAGAGTTCTAATATTTACTTCTATGTTCTAGATGGCTTCTCTACATTTTAATGGTGGTGGGGGGTGAATAATTCTGTCCACAACTGTATATGACAATAGCAGGCAATATAAGTTTCATAAAGATGTATAAGTACAACCACAGTAGTGGAAGTGTTAATTGGCCTTTTATCAGACTAAGTTTAGCAAATATCCAAAATTCTAATGTTAATTATCTACATACCATGCCTAATCTGATTAAAACATTAACTGCAGACTTTTAAGGGAGATATATTTACAATTGCATACATGTATAATTCCCAATAGAACTGTTGTGATCTTTATTGAATGATAGAGGTTAGAGGCTATTTTAAGGTAAGATAACCTTGAACTATTTCCTCTCAGCATTTCCGACCCATAACATTTGAAAGCTTGTTGCTGTGGTGGAGAGGAGGTAAATAAAAGTACCTTCAAAAGTTACAGGCTTTTAAATATATAAAACAGTTTTGATATAAATGTCTGATTTTTCCATTATATAACAAATTCGCTTGTAGTTTTTTAAGCTTATAAATAAGTCCAGAGAAATTGACATCCAATCCCTCAAACAATTTTCAATTAATCAGCTTCAAGACTAACTGATATCACTGGGTTTATTTCAGGCCAGTGATATTAGCCATTTTCCTCATTGATTTGTGATTTCATTATGTTACTGCCCTAAAGTAATGCCAGTAAATTGCTTACATTTGAGGCCAGCTATTTGAGTTACATATATTGAAGGAGGCATTTATTTAGCATCAAAGGCAAGGTTTGTAATAAACTTCAAATTCTAACCCAGGCAAATTTTTAATCAGTGTTTGTATTAGAGGTATGTTGCTCATTTGGTAAAGACAGCAGTTATTGAATCTATTATTAAAATAAGCATTAAAAAGTTCTGGATCAAACTGTTCTAAAAGCTCTCAACACTACAAAACAATAGCAAAATAATGGTGGTTTTAGTTCTGCAGCTGGAGCATTAGACTTGCAAACAAGAGTTCTCTCTTCAGATGTTTGTGACCAATTATTTACAGACGTTTTCTCATTCATTATACTGAAAGAGATACAGTTATGGATACATTTGTCAAGGAATTAAATGCATTGGCACAAAAGGTTTTCACATTGTCTTTTCTTTATACATTCTAATGTTTGCAGTAAAACCCAGGAATTCTTTTTTGGCACCTTTTCTTTATGTGCCATGTCCCCTAAGGATATAGGTGATGATGGCTCTCCACAA